TATATATATTGTAGCAAAAAAATTGAACTCTAATGGAAATACTATCTTCTCCATATAAAAATAGACTTTTACCCTCCCAAGATGGCGGACGCAATGACGTGCGGTCTACGAAGGCGTAAAAAAAAAAAAAAAAACTACAATTCCCAGGAGATTTAGGCATTAACTACATTTAACTATATTTGCTTTTACTGATTTGCTTWGGTTCGGATAAATCCTGCTGTTACACGTGCATCTATCGTTGTACTCGAACGCTGCACAAGCTTTGTRGTAATAAACACCAGATTTTACTGGTTTGGACTCAGTGATTAGTAAATAACCACGGCGAGCTGTCAAATGAAACCCCAGCTGAGGGGTGGCAGTGAGCTCCGTTCGGCACGCACTACAAAACCGGTTGTGTTGTAAACCCCCCCCAGATTACTGAAATGGAGTGGTGGGGTACCTGTGGAGTCGGTGACAGGCGCTGAAGCTTTGAACTCGGGTGATGTATCCGATGCGCTCCGATGACTCGTCGCTCTCCGAGATCGGGGCTTCAGCCATGATCAGCAACAGAGAAGAAGAAGAGAGATGAGGGTGATGATGATGCCAGAATGAGGGGAGTTTTAAAGCCTACGGTCTGCTTGCAAAAAAAAAAAAAAAAACCGTGACATGTGTTCATTGGGTCAAATCGGGGCGTAAATCCAGCTCACGTGTCTGCCATGCATAAAGCTGAATGTGATTAACCAGTCACCGTGTGACAGTGTCTGTTCATCATACTGGCTCTGCGGTTTATATACTAAACAAGCCGACACTTAATGCAGGGGATGTGACTCAAACTGGAATTCATGAATTTWAAAAAAAACTTCATACAGTTTATTTTTATGGTCGGGGAAATAACGATCTGCTGATTTTGTATGTTTACTCACTCTTAAAAAAAAGTTAAATCTGTGTTTTAATTGCTTTTTCAAACGTAACAGTAACTAATAAATATAGCCATGATGAATGCCTGAAACTTGACTTTCACCACAGACCCAGCTACCTGTGTACTCCACTTCTTTCTGAAGTAAGTCTGCCCATGGGGTCTGGCTCTGGGCTGGGGGTGCCTCTTTGGGCTTTTCCTCGGCTTCTTTACTCCGTTTCTTTTGCAGTTCGTTGTTCTCTACATTGTGGTTTCTTAAGTGTTTGAATAAATTGGTGGTGTTGCCACAGTAGCGAACGCATTTACTACACACATTGCAGTTTGCGACATTTTCGTCCACACAGGTGAAATAGCTCCAGACGAGGCTCCTCTTCTTCTGCCTCTGTGCCATCTTTTCTCCACTGCGGCGGCCTAGGCTTGCTGCTGGGCGGATCGATCCGACTTCCGATTCGTATCGATACTATCGTTGCGGGATCGATACTTCCGTTTGCTTCTTCCTCTACGCTCATTCGTTTGCTACCATCCCGTTAAAAAGTAGTCGTGGTGGTAAGAAAAAAAAAATAGAAAAAAGAAAAACAAAACGCTCCGCTCATCCTCTTGCTTGGCTGCCACACTTTAGCTTCTCCCCCTCCCTTCACACTTGTGTTCCCACCGTCACATGACGGTGACGTCAGAAACAAACCCGGAAGTTGAAGCCGGAACTTTTCTTTCTGTGGTAAGTCCCGCCCCTGAAAATAAAACAGCTGCATCAAATTTCATTCAGAAATACTAAACCGGAAATAATATGCATTCGCGAAACATGGCTCAAAACCAACATTGGATTTTATTATTCATGAAAATTATTTTTTACTTAAAGATCAGGGGAATGGGACATAATTTGAATTATAGTTGACTGTAAACAACAGGATTTAGAAGTCATTTCTGCAAAACTATGGACAAATGAGGGAAGTAGCCTATTGAAATAATACATTTCTATAACCCATGCAGGCCGTTAGAAAAAGAAAAACACAATCAGTTCTAGATCATCAGAGAGATAAGATTGTTTATTGTGGGGACTTTAATTCACACAGCACATTATGGGGAAGTCAAGATGGCAATAATGGGGAATATTAGCTGCAATATTGCAGCTGGAGAGCTTTCAAAGAAAACAGCAGTGATCACTATGTTAATATAGATAAAGTTACAAAGGGAACAAATGTGGAAACAACGGTAAAGTGGAAATGTAAGATGACAAACTGGGATAAATATAAGGTATTGAGTGAGGATAAATTAAAAAAATGTGGATTTAAACAAACTGGTAGTAACTATTACGTTTACCCAGTTACGTACATTTACTTTTTGGAAAAAAATATTTTTACTATGTTGTATTTTTTACTTTTACTTGAGTAATTTTAAAATGAAGTATCGCTATACTTCAATAAAATTTCTGGATACTCTGCCCACTGTAACTTCACTGAATGAAGAACAAGCTTGTTTTCACCAAAAATTCACCAGACACAGAAACACACCTGCAGTTTTTGTTAGTTTCATAAATTTTTTATTGAAAAAAAAATAGATTAGAAAAGTGTTTCTTTTGCCTGATTTTTGTAATTATGTAATTATGTTATTTATATGAATTATTTTCATTTTGGTCTTTAAAATACCAAAATTTCCATCTAACTTTATATTTAAATCTGTCTGATGATGTAATTTTTAAATATTAAATAACTCATGTCTTTATCTGTTACTCAGTAATTAAGTTGCTGTTTTACCAAATACCTTTTTACTTGAGTTCTTTCTTAGATGTCTACTTTTTACTTTTACATGAATCAAAATACTGTATGTTGAAGTAGTGTTAGGTTTTTTTTTCTTTGGTGGGGGGGCGAAKGGGGGAGTCTATACCACCTCAGCCAATAGATGAATTAAAATTGAACATTAGTAAAAGTTTATTAGAGGCAGCCGAAGAGACCATTCCTAAAAGTAGTGGGAACTACGATGGACACATGTACAGTAATAAAACAACAAAATAAACCTTTTAAGAAAATWGTGTTTTTTCAAAATTTAATAAACTGTAAAAGGAAAGCCAGTGGTTAGAAGGGGACTGTGAGTTGTGACTCAGTATTTTCTCCAATAACTCCCTTTAGCTTTCTTGACACATAATAAATAGTAAGCTGTTAGATCCATGCAGGCAAAAAATACATGGGACACCATAACCACCATTACCTGGATTACTGAGATGCATCAGGACATAACCAAGAGGCTGGGATAGTGTACACGCACTAACAGCTTAAGCAAGATTAGTTTTTAAAAGTCTGCCAATAAAAATTAAAGTCAATTTTGTCTCGTTAGTAAAATATCCCATGAATCCCTCTATGGATTTTGATTAAACTTTCAGAAAGGAATAATTTATTGTAAATCTGGTTATATTTGGAGTCAACCCAATTCAAGATGGACTCCACAACCAACTGACTTTAGCAAACAAAACAAATGGCTGTAACTCAACCAATTATTCAGCTATTGAGCTATTTACTAGTGTGGTTGTAGCTGAGCATCATCCCCAACACATTCTCTGAGCTATTACAAACTGCTCAATAATTTTGCTTGATACTTTGGTCATAAAGGAAGGCGTCAACACAGTTAGCATAATGAAACACTCAGAGAGTAATGACTGGATATACGCCCACAACTGATCAACGTTTGGAGTCAGTCTGACTGTCAAACTGCTGCACAGTCAGGTCAAAGTTGAAAGAATATGCACATCATATTAATGCACATAAAGCAGGCTTTTACTACAGCCAGTCTTTAAAGTCAACACCATGATGAATGTGTTGCTAATAACATTAACATTTTTCACGCTTTAAGCTCACATGTTCACTTTTGAGGCTTTGTGGACGTCATAAGAACCAGACAGGCAGCTAAAAATCTTGTTGATCTTTTCAAATGTGACTTTTTTTTTAGCACAAACATGAAACAAAAAAAATTGAATTGTATTATTGGACTTATCATATTCAGTAGACACAAAATTTTACGTGCACCATGACCAGATTTGTAATCTGAGATTATTACCAAAAACAGTAAAAAAAAAAAAATAAAAGTACTGTTGAGTTTTATAAAAGCTAGAATGAAATTTGGAATTTTGGACAGCAGCCCTGATACCCTAACATATAATAATTGGTTAGGCATGAATAGTGAAAGTGAATTTTTAAAGGAACAATTTGTTTTCTTTTTACCCAAACTCTTATTGCAGGGACACAATTGAGATTTTAAACCCAGAGGATCCTAATTAAACTTTTTCATCAAGCTGTACTCTGGTTAGAAGGAGTTTGCTGCTAAAACATTTATAGGAACAAAAACACATGATTTTCCTGCATCTTCTTTAACTGACAACCGTCATATAGAGTACTTTCAGCTTTTTACAGAACTTTTACAGAAATTACATTTCCCCCCTGTCTAAACTGTATGTGGTGATAATTGTGCAAAAGTGTGATTTGACAGAATTGACTGCAACTAGGAAATTTAGCCATTTTTGTACAGTTTTGAGTTGCCAACAGTCACAGCCCAGTGACACAAGTGATAACTTATCATTTTTCATAATTATTAATTTAATCAAATTTTTGTGTGTTTTACTGTTTTTTTTATCATTTAAAATAAATTCTGTCATTGCTCTGTGTTGCTGTTATCTTCTGTGCATTTATAGTCGACGACTGACTCCTTGGGTTCTTTTCATCTTGATAATCTCTCCAGACATTTGCTCGCTACAGTTATTTAATAGACATTCCAGCTTTGTACTGTGTGTTACTTTTCAAAAAGCCTCAGGAAATTCTGTGACATTTTGGGCTTTATAGTCAGTTATTCAGTAAAAAGAAAATCGCTGTGTGTCGAAGTACGAGCTGTGTATCTAATACAGATCTTGATTAAAAAGTAGAAAGTGGAAGCCGTTTCATGATAACGCAGCTATTTATTTGAGCACATTTTGTTGTGTGTCTACAAGTTTAAACATCTGATCCATAATTTCTTTAATACATTTGAAGTTTTACAAATATAAAAAAAACGAGACAAGAAAACCCTATAAAACATGCTGCACTTTCACATAAAGCACGATTCACATTCTGACAATAAATACATTGTATTTATATGTTCAATGCAATTCACATGATAAGTCATTTGAATATTTGTAACTAACCTGACTTAGCTTGACATGTTATGTTTTATATTCAATAAAGCATTATATTCTAAAAATATATATTAATACTGCAGTTGTATTTGTATACAACACAAAACATTACTACATACCAATGGTCAAAGAAAAACTTACATTTGTGAGCAATTTCTTAGAGGCTTACAGTATAAAACATACACTGAGTCTTTGAAGGCAACACTTATGTCTGATTTTTATAGAGCGTTACAGTTAAAAATGCTTTCATATTTATCTGCATCTTTTAATAAAAGTTAGACATTCATTGGGACATTACCATGCACTTTAGTTTTAGTGAAATTTTTATGCATCAATTAGTTGTTTTAGGCCCAATTGTATTGGAAGGGGATCTGACTCAACAAAAACACTTTTTCACATCAAATCCAAGTCCAAACCCACTGTTTATAATAGGTTTGTGAATCTAAAGTATGGTATACTTTTCACAGATTACATCAAGAACCACAATGGGATCATGTAATTGTTCCCTTCAGTGTGAGTAATCATGCTCACTATGCATTTGATAAASCAGCTCTTCTTCAGAGCCTGTGTATGTCAGAAATCCTGTGATCTACAACCCCGTTTCCAGTGAAGTTGGGACGTTGTGTAAAACAAATAAAAACAAACTATAATGATTTGCAAGTCTTTTCAAACCTATATTTGGTTGAATACATAATACTTGAAGGAAATGGATAAACTTATCRTTATCTTTTTTTTAATATTCATTCAGTTTAAATTTGGTGCCTACAACACATTACAAAGAAGCTGGGACAAAAGACTGGGAAAGTTGTGGAATCCTCAAAAAACACCTGTTTGGCGAATTCCACAGATGAACAGATTAAGAGGAAAGAGGTGAGTGTCATGACGGGTTAAAGGGGGCATCCCTAAAAGGCTTATGCTACGTTCACACCGAACACGTTTTGAGCGGCCAAAAAGCACAAAACGCCTCTCGTTGGACGCACTATTTTCAGACCGAAGAACGCACTAATGTTCAGACCAGAACAAACAGCGGCAGCAGCGAGGTGTGGGAGGAGCGTGTCCTCGGCGGGTGGATAAAGATAAAATAAAAGAAAATGGCTTTGATTTATTTACTAAAGAGCAAGCGAACGTTGCGCACAGCAGATAATTAACTCACCAGATGATTTAGAGGCGATTTGTTCGGTTAGTTTCGTCACTCCAGAAGCTGCCAGCTGACGGACTTTTTTTTTTGTCCCGAGCAGCTGATCCACATCGGTGCTGATATATCCTGCCAGAAAGTCCAATGCACACGGTCGATTTCAGGTAAAGATCTCCAGTCCGTCTGTTTGGGTTTTCAGTGGGAGACGCGTCGAGCGGCGAAAAGTTCAGATATTTGAACTCTGGCGGCGGCTCGGGCGGCAGCTCGGGCGGCGRCTTCCGCAGTGCCGCATGCGCGGAAAACGCTCTGCGCCCCTTCCGCCTTCCTTGCGCGCCGCCCAAAACATACGTGACGCGACGCACGACCCCTAGAGGCGCGTCCACCATAGACTTTGCATGTGAACCGGCCGCTCCTGCCGCTCAAAACGCATTCTGTGTGAACGTACCATCAGTCATTCACAAGTAATGATGGGGCAAGGTTCATCACTATGTGAACAACTGTGTGAGTATAGTCCAGCAGTTTAGGAACAATGTTTCTMAACGTACAATTGCAAGGAATTTAGGGAGGATCCAGAGAATCTGGGAAGGCCTGCATCACTTGGCAGGATAATCGTGGCGATTTTTGCCCTTCCAACAATCTTAAGAATGTCCAGATTATTGTGGTAGCTCTAAAGATAATCTTAGCAAATATTCCTACCGTGTGTTAAAGTAAGGGCGATCTAGTTGACTCGGAAGGACATTGGGATGGCTAAGACCTCAAATCGGGGATATTCAACGTTTGATTTTTTTGGCCCGATATCACAGTGTGTGTGACGTCCACCCGAGAACAAACAAGCTTGCAGCAGGTTGAATGTGATGTGTAGCCAATCAGAAAGCAAGGGGGTGTAAACACGGAGAGGAATCCAAAACACAGAAGACATAAAAAACTGTCATGACTCATCAGAAAGTCTGCTGGACATTAAAAGTCATTTTGAATTGTTTGTCCTCTGGTAAAAGTAGTCCACAAACAATCAGCATTGTTTCTTTCTAGTCTCAAATGTTTATTTATGCAGAACTCGCATCGCTCTGGAGGTCACGTGAGATTTTGCCTCTGACATATGAATTCTCGCGAAATTTCAAGAAGTTTTGCGTGATTTCAAACTGATACCTGAATGTTCATAAATAAAATATCTGTCCGTGTGTGGCGTGTTGTTTCTTGCCATGTGGCTGTACACCACACACTGTAGGACCAAACCTGGTATGTCATGATTTTTTATCCTCATGTGTGGGGTCTCTCAGTCTTTGAAAATCGTCTGACTGTTTTAAAATCTTACCATGTGTGAACCAGACCTAAGCAGCAAGACCAAAAACCAGCAATGAATGCCCGTGACCTTCGCTCCCTCAGGAGGCACTGCATTAAAAATCCACATCATTCTGTAATGGATAATACCACATGTGCTGAGGAGCACTTCAGAAAACCTTTGTCAGTGAACACGGTTCATTGAGCAAGTTAAAACTCTATCATGAAAAGTCAAAGCTAGATATCAATAACACCCTGAAACACTGCCAGCTTCTCTGGGCTCAAACTCATCTGAGATGGACAGACACAGAGTATAAAAATGTCATTATGAAGCAGGGGTGGAGCCAGGGGTGGCCATGGCCACCACAGACAAATCTTTGGCCGCCCTGCTGTACAGACAGACCCCTTCCACAATGAAACAACCTTTAGGGGTGTAATAATCCTCCTGAATATTGGTAGCAGTGTTTAACAGTTTGAAACATTACCAAATTCTATCACTGAAGAAGAGTAATGACAAGGAATTGATAGTTTTCTTTATATACAGAACATATGATTATGTTATCTGGCTTATGGTGTCAACTTTTTGATTTATGGTGACAAA